GAGAAAAGTTCAGCCTTTGAACTTTTTTGAAAAATTCAACCAGTGAATAACAAAAATATATATTTGCTATGGTACTCCAAACAGTACCTGGATTCTATAGAGCTAAACACTGAGGGTAGTAAGAACATTAAAAATTTGACTGCTTAGAAAATTCACCATCAGATTTAGTTTTCAACTTCCACAGAGCTAGATGCTACACTTAGCATGCATCCAGATAAGTGAACGAGTCAAAAGTAACCTCACCCATATTACCACACCTACTGACAAAGATTTTACTCGGTACACCTATGGACAATAAGCAATGTACCTTAATCTGATTTCTTTCTAACTCCAGTACCTTCTATCAGGGGTCATAGGAAAGATGACAGCCCTTACAACATTTTATCTCCCTGAGAGCTATATTGATTTTTGGAAGAATAAAAGAAATAAAGCTTTAAAAACCTTAAGTCCTTAAAAATATACATGAAATACATACGTTGTGGTTAAAAAAAAACAACCAAACAAAAACCCTTGTATTCTGACTGTGTGATTAAAGAACACTGAACAGAGATAATGAAGTATAGATACTGTTTTCTTCTTTCTGAACATTTGTGTAGAAACTACCACCATGAGAATCTATAGCATAAATGTCTATCATTAATCAGACTAATGAATCAAGAAGTTTGCAGGTACCCACATTTATGGGCTGTTGAAGACATAAAAATTAATTCTAACTTGTCATCCCTCATTAATTTTGCTATATCATAACAGCTATATGGCCTTTGTCCCAATCTTAATGTTAATACACAAAAATACATCTAAGATTAGCACTTTATTGGCACATCTCGCAGTTTGGCAAATGATGTATGGAGATAAATTTAACTTTGCTACAATGCTATTAAAGTAAAGGCTGCATGCCTGTGTGGAAATAAAAGAAATGCCAGCTGTCTGTGCTGACTCTGCCAAAGAATAAAAAAAAACTTTCATTTTTTGGTCTGTTAAACTGGGACCTTTCTGAGGACTGCGGTATGATTCATTGCCTTCTGAAACATCTCCTTTTTTTCTCCTTGAAAACTTCACTGGACTTTGCATTAGGCTAATCAGTATTAGTGTAAAGTTTGGGATTGCCTAAATGACTGCATATAGCAATTTAACCTCACTGTATTATTAGCAGACCTCCATAGTGCTGCAGCACATTGTACTAATTCAGTGCTCCAAGCACTTTAATTATTGGTCAAGTTGAATCCTCTAATCCTGTGGGTTGTTTTTGTTTGTTTTTTTTTTGCCTTCCAGCTGTCAGATCATCCAAGTCATGGGTGGTTACTTCAGATTGATGATATTGCTGATAATGGGATGCATTGACTCGTGACATCAATTTGGATCTTATCACTGAAAAAAAGCAAACAAATGGGAATGCAAGTTCTTATTTCAGTGTTTTACTTCCCCTTTTGTCTTTTAGATTCATAATGGTGGCTACTCCACATTACTTGTCTGCTTTCTCTAGCTAACTTGCTTCCTCACCGTGATCTTTCAGAGGCACCAAAATGCGTTATAATTTATATTCTTGAACACTGATTTTTAATTGAAGATGTGTGTATGTTAGAAGTATTTCAGTTTCTAAAGTCTTTGGGCAGACTTCAAACACATCTAAACCTGAAAAATTAAAGGAGGAACAAGGTTCTTTACTTCGTAAGTAGAGCCATTGTCTGGATAAATAAAACTGCATACCCATAATCAAGAATAAGACAAGAAATACAGCTGAGGCATTTTTCTCCAAGTAACGCTAGTGGTTCATACACTAAAATACCCATCTGTTTGACATATGTGGCAAATCTGTCTTTACAAAGACCCTGGCTACATTTTTAAATTTAGAAACATGCAAAGGCAAGTTCTTAGAGTCAGGAAAGTAGTATGTTGTGCATGTCTTCTCCCCATAGTGCTGGGAGTCATACCTGCATAGCTTACTAATCAAAACATGGTTTTATTGTTACCAGCATTTACAAATCCCCTTTGAGTTATCTTTTTTTCTTCAGACTGCAATTATAATTAAAAATTATCTGAACTTTTCTTTGATCGCCAATGTAACCAGGCTTATTTACACCTTTGAACTGAGGGAGAGGAGTGTGGTTTATTTTTTAATATTTTTTTCCTATATTTGTTCTTCACAATTTCCCTTTTGACTACAAGGAGTAGCACTAAACCTCCGCAGGAAAAACTATCTTGGTTTTATTTCTGGTCTCACTGAAACCAAGGAGCAATGTAAATCTCATTTCAAAGTCTCGTTAAATTTCCATCTGGATTTCCAGACCAAAAAGGTTTGCAAATGTTGAGCTAAAGTGCAAATAAACAACCAAAACACTGGATGCTTCTCCAAACTTAATCTCTGAATCTGCTAACTCTCTTTCCAGAATATTTTGACATCTGATGTGTAAAACACAAAAATATTTCATTTTCACGTAACCAGTTAAACTTGCAGCGCTGGCAGATCATAAAAAAGGGTGTATTTATGGAGGAAAAGGGCCTACGCTCTACTGCAGCAGAAGAACATAAAGTCAAAAAAGCATAAAGAAACCATGGAAGTTTTATCTCATGAACACAATTACCAAGTTTTTTTGGAAATGAGCTATGTCAATATGGGAGACTGAGATAATTAGGTCCAGAATGAATAAAGCATTCACAGATCATAAATGGTTTCTAAACATTTCCTTAAAGTCTACAACTGATCTAAAATAATAAGCCACAGTACGTGATAGAGACTACATACATTATCTTTCCTTTAGTTCTTGTATGGATTGTTCCTGCAAGGTCACTGCATTTATCATTAATTATCTTTTGGGACTGAAGGAAGTGATCCCTGTCTGTAAAATACTTTGTACAATGATATATTTTTATTACTCTTCTCATTCTCACACTCTGCCCTGACGCCTATAACAAATTTGGCAATAAATATTGCCTTGGGACACAGGATTAGTTGGCAAACATTTTATAGGCTAGAATGAAAAAGAGAAGATGGTTCCATGTTGACATATAGTGCACATTTTACAGTATCCTTCTCCAAACTTGTGCCCCTTTACTCTTGAAACTTGCAGATTTATGCCACAGTAGGGTGAAATTATGGTCATCCGTTGGATGAAATCCACTAAAACTCACAGCAATACTGTTGTTTTCTTGAAGAAAGCTGTGATTTCACTGTATCTTTACAAGTACCTATCTCTGGTTGCATAACATGGTCTTAGGGATATGCCAGTTTCACAGTAGACTGTGCTGAATCAAAGTAATATTTGGAGGATTAAAAAAAAAATAAAAAATAGATGGTTTTAAAATTATAACTTTGATGGACAGAAGTATTATCCAAAAGCAACGAGGCTACACATAAGTATATTTATATATCCTCCAGCGTGCCAGAAGAACATCCTTCATTCCTGATGTAAAGACCAAGTGTTAATCACTGAGTTTTCAGTCACTCCAGGTTTAAGAAACGAGACAAAAGACCACCCTACAATGTATCTGGAGCAAATGACATTGATAATCAAAATTATTTTTCAATTAGCATATAAAGAGATTCAAATTTAGATTAATGTAACCCATTTCATGTTTTACAGGAAATATTGATGAAGCAGAACGAGAGTGGAAAGCAGGATTCCATCGCTGGAACAATTACATGTCAGACTGGAAAAATCAATTTAATGATTACACTAGCAAGAAGGAGAGATGTGCAGGCTCTAATTAATATGTTTACCCTTGCCAGTATGTCCATATTACTGTTCATCAGGGAAATATACAAATAGCTTTCTAACACATCTAGCATCAAGTATGTTATGCAGATTAAGAAAGTGTTATGAACATAATTTTGATTCTCCAGATATTTCATTTATATTTTACCTCATATCTCAATAAACAATATAAGGCATCCACACATCACTGGGTTAAATAGGATCACAGAGATTAAAGTCTGAAGATTAATGATTTACATATTATAAACACTAGCTGCTTAAATTCACATTTCAAATAAACAATGGAATCTGTTATTGAAAAATCAGATATTTTTAAAATAGAAATGGCATTGTTTTACAGTATTGGCATGCAAAACACATTCGGTTTTGATCTTTAACTGCAATGCCACAGCACTTAAACCCTGCTTCAGACATAATGTAATTCACATAAACATAAAAATATCATAACTTTGCTGGACACACCAAATGATATTTTTCTTATTAGACCAAAAAGTTTTAAAACTGCTGTTAAAGGCTGAATAATTGATTCTTTATGGACAAATCTGCAGGACAAAGCCATAGTAGGAGAATATTCAAACTGCAAATTGAAGGCCTAAGTCATCGGATCTCTGTGTGCAAGTGCAATGGTGGAACCAGCCAGAAAAACTGACGCCTCTGCTTCTGCTATCCTCATTTTTCAAAGAGTAAAGAGCTACAGATTCACAAAGTAATGAACTCACTGCTTTCCCTGCTCATGCACCCACTGTCTTCAACTGGTAAACATCCCTACTATGGAGGTAAGCTCTAATTATGGGGTTTGTTTTTGTTTTACTTTGGTCCACCGGTTTGCCTCCTAGTCAAAGGACAGTCTGACATTTATTAGAGTATGACAGACAAGTTTTCATACCTGAAAAGCAGCACCAATATGCATGTCAACAGGTTCATCACAAATCAGCCATGAAAGCCCTCATCAGCTGCCAGCTCTCTGCAGGAGAATGGAACAAAGCCCTTGATCCCCTTGAGGAAGGCTGGGAAAGATACCACTCCAGAGGGACAGTGTGAACTTGGTGGGAAGGACCTAGCTCCTTTGCATGGTCAACTAAGCTCTAGTTGCCACGCAAGTAGGCTTCTCCTGGACCCCCTTCTACCTACTTGAGCTGAACCTCTTAGAGGCTTCTGAAAAAAAAAAACCCAAAACAACAACAAAAAACTCCAAACCAACAGAAACAAAACAAAACCACCCCCCCAAAAAAAGCAAAACCAATCCCCCCACCCCCACAAAAACAAGCAAAACAAAAAACCCACAAAAACAAACACAAAAAAAAAAGCCAAAACAAAACAAAAAAAAATCCCAAACAAACAAAACCCCCAAACCTGTGGATAATTTACCTTCTTATTTCTGGATAGGGTTGGAAGTTGTATGCTTGAATAGTATCTTAATTGGGTGGTTTTCACTGGCCCAACTGAATAGAATAAACGCAAAAAAAAATGATTAACATAAGGAGTACACAAAAGCAACAATCCATCTCATAAATAAATTATCCTGGAGCTTTCTGTAAATGTAATAGCATTTCAGTGCATCTATTTTCTGTTCTAGCAATTGAAAGCTCTTGCAAAATTCCTTCTCTGAGTAGACTGAAGAGATCTAGGTAATGAACAGGGAGTTTTCTCTTTCTGGCAATCAGTTTGACCAGAGTTTGACCTTACACTGAAAAGGCTTATTTTTGCAGAATGGCCAAATACTGCAAGACATGATGGCTTATCAACCTTTCAGTTACTTCTAAGATAATACAATTATTTCCTGACTAAATTATGGAAAATCACCTTCAGCACAGTATTTCCAAAACTACAATCAAACTAGCACAGTCAAAAAACCTGGTTATTTTTGAGCAAGTTGATTAAAACTTGAAGTTATCTGGATTAAAAAGCCCTTTATATGCAGTACTTCATGTTTATACCACAGATAATTAGCTCATTATGACCATTAGCATAGTTACAACTATTAATAGTTGCACTGAGAGCTGTGTCAGTGTCGTGGTTTAAACCCTAGCCAGACAGCTTGTTCACTCACTCCTAGTGAGCAGTGCTGGGCTGAGAGCAATCAAGGCCTGCACCCCCTCGGGGCTCACCCCTTTCCTGCTCCCAGAGGGACAGGGAGGAGGATCGAAAGAGTGCAACTCCCTCAGGTTGAGACAAGAACAGTCCAGCAACCAATGTACAACACAAATCACCACCGCTACCACCAACGACAACAATGATAAGAGAAAATAACAAGGGAAGAGAATACAATACCACTCGCGAAGAAACGAGTCCCACCCGGCAGCCAGTGTCCTTCCGGGTAACTCCCAGTTACCCCCCACCCCGGGCATGATGTGCTGTTGTATGGAATACCTCCCTGGCTAGCCTGGGTCAGGCGCCCTGTCCCTGCTTCCTCACGGCTTCCCCTCCTCCCTGGCAGAGCATGAGCCTCACAAAGTCCTTGGTCAGGGTAAACATCACTTAGCAACAACCAAAAACATCGGTATCACCAGCACTGTTCCCAGGCTGGAAGTCAAAACACAGCACTGCACCAGCTACCAAGAAGGAGAAAAATGACTGCTACTGCTGAAGCCAGGACATTATCCACCCCTTATTCCATACCATTCACATCATGCTCAGATCCCACATTTTCAATATACCATTGCTCTCCCACACATATATATCCACATAAAAACAGACCAAGAGAAAGAGATAATTTTCTTAGTGCATGGACAAATCCCTATAATGCTGCCGAGTCCATTCGGTCCATGATGTCAGGTTCCATCTGTTGTAACAATCTTTCAGGGCAGGAAAGGCTGTGTGCAGTATTGGATCGTTGCCTGCTGATGCTGGTCGTTCCTTTACTGTGGAACTCATCTGATTCTATCAAAGTTCATTCTCTGTTGGGATGATGGTTGGAGGAAGGCAGGGCTAGTCACTGGTGACCTGGAGACATCTAGTTGATGGCCTATAAAAGTATTACGCAGCAGGCAACAGCATACAGTTAAGTTCATTGGCTGTTTTCCCAGACTGTCTTTCCCAGCAAATTTTTCATATGCACCATGGGAACTTTGTCCCCCTCTACAATATGTAAAAGTTCTGACTGGGCTGGGCCAGCCCTGTTGGCAGATCCTCTGGTGTTGACCAACCAGGTGGCCTTTGGTAAGTGTGTATCCCAATGCTTGAAAGTTCCCCCACCCATTGCTCTCAGTGTAGTTTTTAACAGCCCATTGTACCGTTCGATTTTCCCAGAGGCTGGTGCATGGTAGGGGATGTGATATACCCACTCAGTGCCATGCTCTGTGGCCCAAATATCTGTAAGGTTACTCTGGAAATGAGTCCCATTGTCTGACTCAATTATCTCTGGGGTGCCGTGTCACCACAAAATTTTCTCAAGGCCCAGGATAGTGTTCCGGGCAGTGGCATGGGGCACAGCGTATGTTTCCAGCCACCCGGTGGTTGCTTCCACCATGGTAAGCGCATGGTGCTTGCCTTGGCGGGTTGTCGGCAGTGTGATATAGTCAATCTGCCAGGCTTCCCCATATTTATACTTCAGCCATTGTCCTCCATACCAAAGAGGCTTTAACCGCTTGGCTTGTTTAATTGCAGCACATGTTTCACACTCATGAATAACCTGGGCAATAGTGTCCATTGTTAAGTCCACCCCTCGATCACAGGCCCATCTGTATGTTGCATCTCTGCCCTGATGGCCTGAAGTGTCATGGGCCCACCAGACCAAAAATAATTCACCTTTATGTTGCCAATCTAAGTCCATCTGAGCCACTTCAATCTTAGCCGCTTTATCCACTTGTTGGTTGTTCTGGTGTTCCTCAGTGGCCCGACTCTTGGGTACATGGGCACCTACATGACGTACCTTCACCACCAGGTTCTGCACCCGGGCAGCAATATCTTTCCACAGTGCAGCAGCCCAGATGGGTTTACCTCTGCGTTGCCAGTTGCTCTGCTTCCATTGCTGCAACCACCCCCACAGGGCATTTGCCACCATCCATGAGTCAGTATAGAGATAAAGTACTGGCCACTCTTCTCGTTCAGCAATGTCCAGGGCCAGCTGGATGGCTTTCACCTCAGCAAACTGACTCGATGAACCCTCTCCTTCAGCAGTTTCTGCAACTTGTCGTCCAGGACTCCATACAGCTGCCTTCCATCTCCGATGCTTTCCCACAGTACGGCAGGACCCATCAGTAAACAAGGCATACTGCTTTTCACTTTCTGACAGTTTATTATATGGTGGGGCCTCTTTGGCACGCACCACCTCCTCCTTTGGTGACATTCCAAAATCTTTGCCCTCTGGCCAGTCCATGATGACTTCTAGAATGCCTGGACGACTGAGATTTCCTATTCGAGTTTGTTGTGTAATTAGTGCAGCCCATTTACTCCATGTAGCATCAGTTGCATGATGTGTAGAGGAGACCCTGCCTTTGAACATCCAGCCCAGCACGGGCAACCGGGGTGCCAGAAGGAGCTGTGCTTCAGTGCCAATCACTTCTGAAGCAGCTCGAACCCCTTCATAGGCTGCCAGTATCTCTTTCTCAGTTGGGGTGTAGCTGGCCTCAGATCCTTTGTATCCCCGACTCCAAAAGCCGAGGGGTCGACCTCGAGTTTCCCCTGGAGCTTTCTGCCAGAGGCTCCAGGTAGGACCGTTCTCCCCAGCTGCAGTGTACAGCACATTTTTTACATCTGGCCCAGTCCGGACTGGTCCAAGGGCTACTGCATGAACTATCTCGCGTTTAATTTGCTCAAAGGCTTGTTGTTGCTCAGGGCCCCATTTAAAATCATTCTTCTTCCGGGTCACATGATAGAGAGGGCTTATAATCGAACTGTAATTCGGGATGTGCATTCTCCAGAACCCCACTGCACCCAAGAAAGCTTGCGTTTCTTTCTTATTAGTTGGTGGGGACATTGCTGTTATCTTGTTGATCACATCTGTGAGGATCTGGCGACGTCCATCTTGCCATTTTATTCCCCAAAATTGAATCCCCTGTGCAGGTCCCTTGACCTTACTCCGTTTTATGGCAAAACCGGCTTTCAGCAGGATTTGGATTATTTTCCTCCCTTTCTCAAAGACTTCTTCCGCTGTATCGCCCCACACAATAATGTCATCAATGTATTGCAGGTGTTCTGGAGCTTGCCCCTGTTCCAGTGCAGTCTGGATCAGTCCATGGCAAACGGTAGGGCTGTGTTTCCACCCCTGGGGCAGTCGGTTCCAAGTGAACTGGACACCCCTCCAAGTAAAAGCAAACTGTGGCCTGCACTCTGGTATATGTAAGGAAAAAAAACAAGTAAGCATGGGAACTGAGAACTGGACTTCTGGCAGAATTGCTGCATGAGTGTGAAACATGTGCTGCAATTAAACAAGCCAAATGGTTAAAGCCTCTTTGGTATGGAGGATGATGGTTGAAGTATAAATATGGGGAGGCCTGGCAGATTGATTATATCACACTGTTGACAGTTATTTTGGGGCAGGGGGGTAACTGCTGTTCTTGGAGCTGGGGTAGCCACGCTGTCTGTTGCAGTCCAAGTTTGAGCAGCTGCTGTACTTGCCACTGGGGTAGCTGTGCTGTTCATTGCAGCCAAAGTTTGAGTAGTGATTGTACTTGTTGCTGGGGGTGGTGAAGCTGCTGTGCTTGGAGCTGGAGTAGCTGTGTTGACTGTTGCTTTGCCCTCAGATCCACCAACATTCTTCTCCTTTTGAAGGTGCTGGATAGTGTTGAACAAGGCCCTGTAAGCATAGGCCAAGCCCCAGCACGTTGCCATGATTTGTCCCTCTCTGGTATGGCCAGAATGACCACACACCTCATTTAAGTGTTTTACTAATTCTTCTGGATTTTGCAGTTGTTTGGTGGTGAAATTCCAAAGTACTGGAGGGGCCCACTGACCTAGATACTTGCCCATACTATCCCACACACCCTGCCACTCATGGCTGTCCAGCCTCAGGGAAAATCTCTTGGTCCTCCTACATCGTCGTTTGACCCCAGACAATACCCAAACCTGACTCCGCTTAACTCTTGAAATCAGTAGTGGGCAAAACACACTCTGTATGCATGCTAGCATGGTGATCCCCATCACAATCAGCAAACAAGTCTCAACAGCATTAAAAGGCCATCCAAAACTTCAAAACTCACAAATGTAAATGGTCTGGGGGGAGGACTGGGAGGGTAAAAGGATGTCTCCTTCACAGGTTGAGCACCTGAGAAGGAGAAAAAAGATGTGTAATTGCTAAGCACTTCTATTATATACCTCCCAAAGTATAAAGGTGGTGACCACACTGGGAACATAAGCCAGATCAGTTTCATGATCAATGATTCTATTGTATTACAAGTCATTACCATAAAGTACAATGAGACAAAAATCTTAGCCCAAGCCCCACACTTGAAAAACACTAATACAGCAAATACCGGATAGAAGTAAGGTACGATATACTGATACTGTGAGATCAAGAGGAACAACCTTGAGAGCCAGTAAATCAGCATAGTGATGAGTGACTATTTATCCGGTCAGATCTGTTGTTATCTCAACCCCTCATGCCCCATGCTGAGCACCAAAAGAACTGTCGTGGTTTAAACCCTAGCCAGACAACTTGTTCACTCACTCCCAGTGAGTGGTGCCGGGCTGAGAGCAAACAAGGCCCGTGTCCGTGGCCCCCCCCCCCCCCCCCCCCGGGGCTCTCCCCTTCCTCCCTCCCAGAGGAACAGGGAGGAGGATCAAAAAAGAGTGCAACTCCCACGGGTTGAGTCAAGAACAGTCCAGCAACCAATGTACAACACAAATCACCACCGCTACCACCAACGACAACAATGATAAGAGAAAATAACAAGGGAAGAGAATACGATACCACCGGCCAAGAAACGAGTCCCACCCAGAAGCCCGTGTCCTTCCGGGTAACTCCCAGTTACCCCCCACCCCGGGCATGACGTGCTGTGGTATGGAATACCCCCCTGGATAGCCTGGGTCAGGCGCCCCATCTCTGCTTCCTCACGGCTTCCCCTCCTCCCTGGCAGAGCATGAGCCTCACAAAGTCCTTGGTCAGGGTAAACATCACTTAGCAACAACCAAAAACATCGGTATCACCAGCACTGTTCCCAGGCTGGAAGTCCAAACACAATGCTGCACCAGCTACCAAGAAGGAGAAAAATGACTGCTACTGCTGAACCCAAGACAGTCAGTCTACAGTGTATTCGGTATTTATCAAATATTCTTCATGCAAGTGATGAGCTACTGAAAAAAAAAAAAACACAGAAGGATGAACTTTCTGTCCTTCACTGAGCCAGTCCTGCCACTCACTATTTCATTTATATGGTGTGCTTCATAGATGTGATGGGTGCTGATCTGACACAGCGAGCCTTGACAGCACTGGTATCACCTAAATACGTATATACTTTTCTTAGCTGTATTTCACTGTCTGTCTAATCAGCTTAATCAACGGTAAGGAAAAAATCTGAGTAATTAAAATGTACAAATATGCTCTTTTGGAAGGGTTGGTTGCAAAGCAGTTTATTTTGCTAGGAAGGTGTCCTTTGTCTGTATGTGCTGTGAGCAAGGCTGGATAAGGCTTATTTGAAGACTATTATCCTTTCCACAGTACGCATACCATGCTTGTGACGTTTTCAAGAACGAATAAGGATGGAGGGAAGAGGAAAGAAAAGCATAATAAAAGAAATATTAAACCACTTTTTGAAGTGTGTTTTTACTGATTTTCATTAATAAATTGCTAGTTTTGTATTTTTTTTATATGCTGGGAAATAATGTCTCCATTTATCATTCATAGGAAGTCAATATATCATGTAGTCATATATTCATATCCCACACTTATGCAAAAATAGGAAAGCATTAAGTACTTGGATATAAGTGTTTAAGATAATGAAGAGTGAGAAAAGACCAGTCCCAATTGTGGGTAGTTTCAAACTAAAAGTCAAGCAAACTTATAGTGGAAATTGCTTGAGAATACCGTGTTATTGCTTAAAGTGATGATTACACATCAGAGGGATATCTAATGCAGACCTCACTGAAAATGTACTATTGCAAATTAATGTTTTCTTTTTACTAAAAAGAGGTAAGAAACCAAGGTTTCTCTATGAAAACAGAGAAAAGGTGTCAATTCTTTCTTACCGTTCTTGATATCGAAAGCAAGAATTATGAATTTAGTCCCAGAGTTGCTGAAACATTACCATAAGATGAACTGCAGTGCCAACAAAAATGTCGGCATTAAACCAGTTGTCATTAGGTTTATAAGATAATAGCACACTGATTAAATTACAGACATTTCACACATATTTTAGAGATAGTCATAAGATGGCTGAAGCCAGAAATTTCTCAGCAAAACTCTGTTTAAATAAAACTAGCAGGTTTTGTATTTTAGAAGTTTCCTTTAAAGGAATTTAGGTTGGATAAATAATATTTAAATTTACTGAAAGCTTGAGTGAAATACCATCTTTGATCCTGTTGGAGTATCAAGAACTGAAGAAGTTGGGAAGTGGTATGGGCCTAGGGCTGGTCTGTGTAACTGAACCAACCAAGGTTGAAGCTTCCTGGCAATGAACAGGGACCTTCTGACCCCAAAAGTTCTCTCTAGCACAACTAAGACACCCCCCCCCCCCCCTCCACACACACACACACACACACACACCCTCCAAGGTTTTCTAGCTTCCTCCCACTTGCAGACTTTACACTCATAGCTTGGATTTTTTGAACAAGTGCTCAGCCCTTGCTACACTAACCCTGGCCAAATTTCTAGGTTTATCATATTGATAAAGCCAGATTTCTGTTGAAGTGGAAGCCTGATTTTTTTGGCCTTTTTTGGTCACTAGAGACTTAGGCTATTTATACAGCAGAGATTACTTCTGCATGCACACATAGATATATGTGTCCAGTTTATATCTTCAGAAATAGAAAACTCATATGTCTCTCAATAGCAAGGAGCGGAGGCAAACCTCCTCATAGTTGGAGAGGTATCTTTGCAACACAAGAGCTACAAGTCCTTTTTTACTATTATTAAGTAGAATGTTATTAAGTAGAATATCGGAGAGAAAATTATGTTAGAGTACGGAAAAAATTATAGAACTGTCTGAAAAACATACATATGTTTAATGATGTATAAGCTTAATATAACCTCTGTAGATCTCACTAATCTTCCTATTACAACAGTTGATCAGCAAGTAATTTATCCCACTGCCATATCCAGATATCACATAGATTAATCAGAGCACAACATTATCAGTGGTGATATATATATATATCTCAGTCAACATCATAACATTGTCTTCTCAGGCTTGATCATGGTTCAAGCATTTCTACTGGCTCATCACCGGTTCTGCAACATCAGCAGCAGCTATTTAGAGGGACATAATAAATGTCACCATACTTCAGTTACACCTGCAGCATATCCAGATAGTTAAGAGCAGCCTGTGCTGCCACTGCCAAATGCCAGCCTGCCTGTCTGTCCAGGAGACTCTTGCCCTTCTCTCCCCTCCAGCTGCTTGGAGGTGAGGAGGGAGGGAAATAAGCAAAACAAAACAACCTAAAACAACACCCATATAAAATATTGAAGGGAATGGGGGTTGGGAGGGCACAGGAGGACAGGAAGGGGAGAAGAAGAAGAAAAAAAAAAGCCATCACAAAAAAAAAAAAAACACCCCCCCCCCCAAAAAAAAAATCAAAACACACACAGAAAACCAAAATGAAATAAAACAAAAGCAAACATACAAAAAAACCCCACCCAAAGCAAAACAAATAAAACACATGGAGAGGGAAAAAAAAATACAACAAACCCAAACCAACCCAAAACAACAAGAACAAAAAACACCAATAAACCCAGGGAAGGAAACAAACTAGAGTGTGGGGGGATAAGAAGTAAAAAAATCAAGGGCGGAAAGACCCCATACAAGCACTTTTGCCCCAGAATGATCAACAATTGAAGGGCTCAATACTGTACACAGAGGTGCTATCCCAGTGTCTCTGTTCCAGTAACTCCAGCCAAGAAAACCTCCCACTGAATTGCAAAATAAGTTTAGGAATTTGACAGTTATTCAGAATATGGGGTGAAGAATGAGACCAGCAGGTTTGGCTCAGGCTTGAGGGCTGCTGTGGAAAGCACTAGTGCCAGCTGACTACTTTCTCACTGTCTTTTCTCTTCCAATCCATGGAACTACGGGCATTTGCCAAAAACTCTTGAGTGCGCTTGGCTAGCTAGAGAGTCTAAACCCAAGCACCTGTGTAACAAATATGTGCTGCTATATATGCTCACCACAGCTGACCCATCTGTGATACATGCCACATGTCTGTTGGTTTACTCTGGGTGGATGAGAGCAAAAATCCATTAGATTAAAAAAAAAAAACAACAAACCACAAAAAACAAACAAACAAAAAAAAAAAAAACAAAAGAAAATAAACAAACAAACCAAAACTAACAAAACAAAAGAGAGACACTAATACTGGTAGTTCAGCCAGGAACAGTCTCGTTGGTTTTATTTGTCCTCATCTGTCTGATTCTAGGTGGGTTTTCCATTGGTAGATGATTGCTGCTGTATAAGTGTGAGGAAATTTACAACAGATCTCTAACAAAACAGAAAATTTTGAGCTATTTGAATGCTGCATCTTTTGGATCTACAAGAGGTTATTTGGCAACTGTGTACACACAGTTAATATTCAAAAACATTGACTCAGTTCTGTAAGTTGAGAGCACCACTGCTTTAAAATGATGTCTCAGAGAATATGCATCTACGCACAGATATATAGTTTCATCACCAATTGGCTCTCAACAGTATGTTTCCAATCCTTGCCAGCAGCATGGAGATGGAGACTTATGTTATTGACTTGTATATTCAAAGTGAATCTTTTTAGCATTTACTGAAGAATAAAATGACCACAGGACTTTCTGACATAAATCAACACCTCAGTCATATTAGTCATTCACAGTTAAAAGTTCAAAAGCTTTTACTCTGATTTCAGTTATTTCAGGACCAAATTTTAGGAACAAACATAATTAGCTGTTCTGAAATGCCTCACAAGACAATTCCTTCCTGACCCCTGCTGAAATCTTGAAGCATGAATGCTGATTATCTTGTTTTAGCACTTAAACCTTCCAGCATTTTGTTGATAAACTAGATTAGGTGCACTTATAAAAACTTTAATTCATAGGCTTAATGACTATAAAGCAGTGATGTGAATCTACAATTAGCATAGGCGTGAATTTCTGAGATGCTTTTAATTGGATTGCAGGTGAGATTAAATAAGGCTTCTAGAGATGTTGCAAGTAGAAGTGCTGGATTGGGTGGTGTTTAGTCACATAATGATTTCAGTTAGTTTGGGGAGAATTGGGAGGAAAAATGAAGCTTAATTCCAGCACAGGGCCTATTACACAAAAGTGAATGATGAAAAAAGTTTCCTTCCTGATAGCATCACAGAAGCTTGAAGAATTTACAGAGGGGGGGAGGTAGTCTCTCTGGGGATTTACTGAATCTGGTTACTACATATATCACTCTCTTTTTACAAACATGGTCATTTTTGTCAGGGATCTGGAGATAGCCAGGAAATTACTGCAGTTTTAAAATGGAAAAGTATCTAGTACTTCCAAATCCACATATTTGACTGGAAAAGAACATCAGCTTTTGATTTTTTAATTCTGCTCCATTTTAATGTATGCCATGGTTGCAGAAACTAATGCTTTAGATGCTATTAATAGAACAATGTTCAAATGGCGTAGGTGGTTCTCGCAGTTTGGGAGTGCTGTGGTTAATTTCTTTAATTTATAAAGTATTTATAAGTCCTCAGCTATACTGAGTAGTGGTAAAAGTGTGTAGGCAGAAAGCAGTTACCTCCACACCTCAATCTTCCAAATTAAATTCACTCTTGCATCATGTCTAATCACTTCAGGGTACCTCATCATCCCCTCTCTATTACAGAGCTGTGTAACACCATTTCTTTCAAAATAGATATATTTCAACTGAGTTTCTAAACTGATCTTATTTTATAATCTCATATGTGAGACAATTAGGGTATTAACCCAGAAAAATCAGCAAGAGATGTGACTGATCATTTATCAAGAACTGTTTAGGAAGTAATTCACAAGGAATTTTAGAACTGTGAGAACCAGCTGCAATTACACATCCAAAGTGATGCTTCTGAAATATTAAACTTTTCTCACTCACTAATTACAGAGCTACAAGTTTGATAGATACTGCTAGCTGAAGTTACATCAGTCATTACGTAACACTAAACATGCCTCATTTTTTCTGACTTAAAGCAAATATATAACTTTCTTAAAAAAATAAAAAGGTATTAGAAGGTATTAGAATTGGGAAAAAAAAAAGATGCTTTGTTATTTTTCAGCCTTTAAAAAAAACAACAAACAAACAAACAAAAAAAACAAACAAATTTATTTCATGTTTTGATTTCAGTGATATGGTAATTTGGATAGTTATAGTTTTCCCTGTCTCCTCTCTCTAAAGGAGTTTGAGCTTGTAGCTCTCACTGCAGGTATAATTCTGGTTCCAGGAATGATTATGACAAACCAAAACTGTAAGTATACACCTACGTACACATGGTTGCTTTCATTCAGTAAGACTTTTACATTGCATCTATCTTTGGGAAAGACCTCAGCACTCCCACTTTTAGACCATTCAGTGATTCAGTTAATTAAAGTTTTGTCACTGCCTTCAGCAGAAGCACAAGAGCTCCTTTGACTGACACTTTCAGTTTTCTTTACCACTTAGTAATCTGGGAGGTACTTACTATTTATGAAAAAAAAAGAAATCCACACCTCAGAACATACTTTCTTCACAAATTTCTCTTAATGTTGAGCTAAATGAGAGACTACAGCTATGACCAAATTGTATCTATATACTCCCTCTTGCAGGGAAAATATCCATTAGATGCTAACAAAATATCACCATTTCCTCTACATTTTCCATATTTCTCTTATTTTGCTTATGAATGGCCTCTGAAAAATGGAAGCAGAAACCAAAACTGCCCTCTGCCAATCCCTGGCAGAATTGACAGCACACCCTCAGCTCACCCCAGGGTACTATGCTCCCTCATCAAGACTGTCAATTAAAAATATGAAGATCAGTATCTCCAAGAACTCCTTTCTAGAGAGGCGTATTGACAGCCAACCACTACAGGAGCTCCCAAGCCTGTGACTATCCCTTGTGGGTCCAGAATTGCAAACAGGCATCTTAGTTAAAACAACCTACAGGTCCC